CAGAAACAGACCAATTTCACAAGCCAGGCTGGCAGCCAGTCTCTCGTTACTGGTGTATTTGACAAGTTGCAACCCCCGATGAAGGATGATTAGGGTCAGCGTGTCTCTCTGAGTTCAGGTAATCAGACTCACAGCATCCAGAAGGTCAACAACAATACGTGAAAAATCGCACAATGTGGAAGACAGGAATGAAAGGAGGGATTGTAGAAACAGATTTGGGGGCCATTCGGAGACCGAAATTACAACTAAAGATGGTTGTTTAATGTATTATGTATAAATGAGCAGGTCTGCCTCCTCTATTAATTATAACTAAGGATGTGCATCCTCTCTCTTTCTCATTCTTTCTCTCATTCTCTCTCATTCTTTCTCTACCTCATTCTCTTTCTCATTCTCTCTCTTTTATTCTTTCTCCTCTCTCATTTTTTTCTCTTTTTCTCATTCTCTGTATTACTTTCATTTTTCTCGCTTTCTCCTTCATTTTTTCTATCTTATTCTCTCTTTTTCATTCTCTCTCATTCTCTCTCTACTTCATTCTCTTTCTCTTTGGGTCTGTATCTCTTATTCTTTCTCTCATTCTCTCTTTTAGACACTCATTCTCCCTTTATTCTCTCTCACATCTCATTCTATCTCTTTCATTCATTCTCTCTTTCAGACTCTCTCATTCTCTCCTTCATTCTCTCTTTCATTTTCTTTCTTTCTCTATCATTCTTTCTCTATCTCATTCTCTTTCATTCTCCCTTTCATTCTCATTCTCTTTCTCATTCTCTCTCTTTTATTCTTTCTCCTCTCTCATTCTTTTCTCTTTTTCTCATACTCTGTATTACTTTCATCTTTCTCTCTTTCTTCTTCATTTTTTCTATCTCATTCTCTCTTTTTCCATTCTCATTCCCTCTCTACTTCATTCCCTCTCTATTTCACCCTCTCTCTTTGTGTCTGTATCTCTCTTATTCTTTCTCTCATTCTCTCTCTCTTTCAGACACTTATTCTCCCTTTATTCTCTCTCACATCTCATTCTATCTCTTTCATTCCCTCTCTCTTTCAGACTCTCTCTCATTCTCTCCTTCATTCTCTTTCTTTCATTCTCTTTCATTGTTTCTCTATCATTCTTTCTCTATCTCAGTCTCTTTCATTCTCCCTCTTTCATTCTCATTCTTTCTCATTCTCTCTCTTTCATTCTTTCTCATTTTCTCTTTCTGTTTCTCCCATTCTCTGTATCACTTTCATTCTTTCTCTCTTTCTCCTTCATTCTTTCTCTATCTCATTCTCTCTTTTTCATTCTCTCTCTCCTTCATTCTCTCTCNTAAAAAGCACTAAACCTCAAGCAACCATAAAAGGGGGAGAAAAAATGAAAACACGGGAGAATTCTTTGGTTAGAATAACTCATCCGAGTCTGCCACTCTAATGCAAGAATCAAAACACTGTTAGGTATTAGCCAAATTTTGAAGGACCAGGAGATTATATTGCAGCATACCCTAATTTGGGAACCAGGCAAGAAATATCTGATTTAGTCTGGGCAAGAGAGAGCAGCTGCCTTGGGTGCTTAAATGCCAAAAAGATGAAATCAACGGGGAGGGGGGGGAGAGGAGAGGGAGGAAGATGTCCTGCTGTTGTGCTTGTCTTTATTTAGTTAAAATTCTGCATCCTGATCTGGGGGGAGGGGGGGCGAGAGAAATATTTTTGGGGGGTTCTTTCAATGTAGCACCAACTCCAGCCAGCTCCTCAAGCACGCAGAGTCCTATTTCTACACTGAGGAAGAGGATGAGGAGGGGAGGGTGAGGGGTTCAGCCTCATGTCCTGGCTGCCTTTGGGGAGGCAACCCCTTCCCCCAGCCTCGCTCTGAAAGCAGCCCACTTCAGCAACCTGCCCTCACCCCGTCCCACGACCCACCCGCAGGTTCTTTCAACCCTAAAGCGGGGACGGGCTGCTGCAGGAGGCCTGGGGGGGGGGGTTCGATCCCCGGAATCCTGAATGGGGGGGAGGACGTGAGAATTCCACGGAGGTCTGCTTTTTCCAGCTCGGATCGGGGACCCCGCTTCCCACCCCAACAGCCTTCCACCCCCAGCCTGCCGATGCAGTGCGCAAAGCTCGCCTTCTGGTGAGAGAGGAAGGTGCCAGGAGCTGAGCCACTTCTCCGAGTCCCACGCGGCGCCCGTCGGGAGATGCTGCTTCGGGATGCCGGGGCGCTCGGATGCCGGCGGAACGGAGTCCCCTCCGCTCGCTCGTTGTCCCGGGCAGCTTTGGCCCCAAAGCTACTGAAGCAACCGGGGTGGGTGGGGAGCCAAAGAAACGGACGAGAGGGAGAGCGAGGGTGCAGCAACAAGGAAGCCGTCGACCTCAAAGAGTCAAAGAGGAGAAGCCAGCCACCGAGCAATTGGGCGACGTTGAGTAGGAGGCAGGCTTAAAAGTCTCCATTGCCCGCCGCTAGTCCCGAGAGCAGCGCGCCGCCCCGTCTGGGAACAGGGGAACTCCTCTCCACACGGGGGACGGAGATCTTGTTTGGAGGGGAGGCTGCTTTAAACTGGGGCAGGGCCCCCATTTAGACCCAAGGACCCTTGAGGGGCTGGGCTGATGGAGGTTCGCAGCTGGTCCGCTTTGCTAGACGGGGAGAGCAGCGCCGACGGCCCGCGGGCAGGGCAACAGGAGAACCGGCCCGTGGGAGGCTCAGCTAGGGCAAAGCGGGGGTTCTCCGGCGAGGACCCGGATCTGTCTGCCGCAACAGCCCCGCAGACGGCCGCCTTCTCCCCCACCCAGCCCCGGGGACGGGCCTCACTCGCGGCAGAAGACGTACTCGGTGTAGCTGGTCCAGATCTTGTCTTCGGCGGGGCCGCCTTGCTCGGGCCCGAAGGCGCAGGTGCCCGTGGAGGAGCAGGCAGCCATGCGGAAGCCGGCTTCGCTCAGCCGGTCGAAGGCCTGCTCCAAGAAGTTGAACTTGAGGTAGTAGCGGGCCGTGTAACGCTCGGGGGGCCGGTCCGGGTCGCGGCTCTCGTTCAACGTCTCGCCGAAGACTTCTTTGGCCAGCGCCGTCTTGCCGCAGACCGTGATGCGCGCCACCCGTCGGAACTTGGCATCGGCTTGCGCGTCCCGACCGATGGTGTAGGAGCCCCGGTAGCCGATGGTGATGTAGCCCGAGCGGCGTCCACCCGCGACGCCCCCGCCGGCGTCCAGGGAGAGCGAGGTCGCCAGCATCGGCGGAGGCCCCGACGGGCTGCGGCCTGAAGTCGGCGAGGCGGCCGAGGCCGGCGTCTCGGTGAAGTCCGCTTCTAAGTAGCCCAGCCCCGACGGCGGCTCCTCGGCGCAGACCGAAGAGTCGCGCAGCAGCCCGGAGAAGCGCGGCGGGCCCGGGGAGGAACCCGAGGCGGCCAGACGGCGCACCAGCTCGGGCAGCTGGAAGTACTCGGCCTCGCGGCGCAGGCGGTTGCGCTCCGGGAAGCCCTCGGGCAGCACCAGCTCCTGGTCGCGCAGGTAGTCCAGGACGTAGCGGAAGAGGAAGCCGTCGCGATCGAGAAAGAAGCGGCCTTTGGCGTCGCGGGGCAGGTCAGCCGGCTCTTGCTGGGAGAAGAGGCGCCACAGAAGCGAGCCGCGCACCGACAGCACCGTCCCTCGGCGGGTCACGTACACCTGCCCGCCCACGTTCAGCTCCACGATCTCCGGGATGGACTCCGACGACGGGGACGAGGTCAGCTCAGAGGCCGTTGGGGCTCGAGCGACGCCGCTCCGGGCGCCGCCGCCGCCGCCTCCCCCGCCGTTGGGGAGCCCCCGGGCACTGTCGGCTAAGGCCATGCCGGTCGTCCCGGGCGAGGAGGAGGAGGCCCTCGGCCGCCGCCTGCGCTCCCGGGGACTGCGACCGTCGACGGCCCTGCTCCGCTTGTTTTAAACCGGTCGTTCCTCGACCCCCCGACGGTTCTGCGTGCCTTTTCGCGCGTGGCTCCGCTGGGCTGCGGCCTCCGGGCACTGCCGGCGAGCCAAAGGACGGGGCGGCGGGGCTGGCTTTATGTAGCTCCGCCGCGCTGCCACCGGCGGGAGGAGCGAACGGAGGAGCCGGAGGCTGACGTCGCTCGGGCACTTCCCTGCGCGCCTGCCTCCACCGCTTGCGCGGAGCCGCGGACGACGCGCCCGAGCGCCCACCCTGGCCGCGCGCCGCCTTGAGCCTCTGGAGGATGCCGGGCAGCGGCGCTTTGCAAGGACGCCGCCGCGGATCTCCAGCTCCCATCACTCCCACGCGAGACCCAGGAGGAGCGCGGGCTGCAGGGGCGTACGGCCCCCGCGTGTCCCGTGGGCTGCCGCGACCCGCCCTGGGAGGAGCCTGGCTTGGTTGGGTTGGTAGAGGGGGATGTTGGTCGGGGTCGTCGCGCGGGAACCTGGAGCGAAGGGGGTGGGAGGGAAAGTTCCGCTCCCCGCGGGGTGACGGCTGGCCGCTCGGGACTGCCAGACAGCGGAGAGAGTCGGGGTCTACCCGCTCCTGGTTTCTGGCAGCGCTTCCTCTGCCCCCCCTCTCCAACCCCTCCCGGCCGGTTTCCCTTCCTCTCCACTCCTAGAATAAGGTTAGAGTCGGGGCTTCGCTTTTACTTTCTAAGCCTATTCTGACAATATGTCATGTTAGGGTGGGATGGGATGGGATAAGGTAGGGTAGGGCAGGGTAGGAATAGGAATAGGAATAGGAATAGGAATAGGTGGGGTGGGGTGGGGTGGGTGGGACGGGACGGGACAGGACGGGATAGAATAGAATAGAGGATAGGATAGAACAGAATATAGAATAGAACAGAATAGAACAGAACATAGAATATAGAACAGAATAGAATAGAATAGAATAGAATTCATTTCTTTATTGGCCAAGTGTGATTGGACACACATGGAATTTTTCTTTGGTGCCGATGCTCTCAGTGGACATAAAAAGACAAGATACATTCGTCAAGAATCATAAGAATCATATTCGGTCCTTCTGAGAGGTTTCTCTGGTGATGCTTACACCAGTGGAGTGGCTTGACTCCGGAAAGATGTTGAGACTCTAGAAAAAGTGCAGAGAAGAGCAACCAGGATGGTTAGNAAATGCTAATAAACCTAAACCTAAACCTAAACATAATCACATTTTGGTGCTTGGCAACTGGCCCACATTTATGTTTCTGGTAAAAGACGCCCATTGGATACAATGAGTTTACCTAATGACCATTGCATTTGCTTAGTGGCCACTGAAAAAAAGATCATAAAATCAGACATAGTCACTTGATAACTTGCTTAATATCTGCCACAACCATAATTCTGGGTTGTAAATTATGGTCGCAAATTGAGGACTATTTTACAGATAATTTAAAAATAAACTATTTGTATGGAATTGCCCATGAAGAAAGGAAGAAAACCAGTGTAAAACACTGCAGCCAATCCAGAAAGATGCTATGATTGTTTGTATTAAAAGCTGCAGACAGATGAAGGAACATAACAATGGCTTCCCACCTCTATCACTCTTCCACCAAAGGTTATCAATAAGCACAGCCAATGCTGTCTTCACACTAAATCATGGCTTCAAAGCTGACTGAAATGGTTCCAGATCATCTGCTTCAGTGGTGGGATTCACATTTTTTTACTACGGGTTCTGTGGGCGTGGCTTGGTGGATGTGGTGTGGCTTGGTGGGCATGGCAGGGGAAGGATACTGTAAAATCTCTATTCCCTCCTCACTCCAGGGGAAGGTTACTGCAAAATCCCCATTCCCTCCCGATCAGCTGGGACTCGGGAAGCAGAGAATAGATGGGGGTGGGGCCAGAAGTGATATTTACTGGTTCACCGAACTACTCAAGTTTTCCGCTACTGGTTCTCCAGAATTGGTCAGAACCTGTCTCAAGGAAGCTGACCCCACAGCATGACCCATCTAGAACTTTTTAACTTCCTTAATAATTCAAAAGAAAGCTAGATCTAGTAAATGATTTGCCAAAGTAACAGTCTGGAGAATCCTGTCTACTTCCTCAAGAGTCACTGGCTCTAACTCATATCAAGTAATACCATAATACTGAACAAAATGAAGGGAATAACTGACTTGATCATCAAAATTATTTTTCCTTGAGGAACGAACAGTTTGATACAGTTGGTAAAACATTGGTTCAATATGATATTTTTAAAAGAACATCAGACAATATAGGAAAGATAATTATTAGTAATTGTTAATGAGGTAGCACTGTCCTTCTAGATTTTAAAGTATAGAAACAGTTCATATGTAGTGGGCTTTTGGTTGGCAGTTTTGGGAATAAAATAGTGAAGTTCATTTATCCATTGGAGCTGAATTGACCTGATTATATGGTTACAAAGAGATAAAATAATTTATATATCTTTTTGTTATAGTTACATTTTTATTACAAGTCTATAGTCTTCCAAATGCAGTTCATGTCATTGTCATTTGCTCAGTTGCATTCTTCTTTTAGAACTAGAATTGTTTTCAGAAAACCAATTCTGAAACCAATGTAGTACTTTAGATTAATTCTTGGAAATTTATAAACTTCCAGATGCTGCCCAATTATAATTCTTAATTGTCCCGGCCAACATGGCCAGTAGTGAGGGATGTTTGAAACTGTAATTTGGAAAGCCATATTCTTGCAGCTTGAATTAAAGGAATATTTGGACTGCTCGATTACAAAGTTTGAAGCAGTAATTATCTCAAATGGTTGCATTTGTTCTCACTTACCGTAAGTAGATTATTCAAGGATTTAACTTTATTTGGCCATTATTCCTTATGGGTGAAATTCCTACTGTAAAATATTTGAAATTATTATAAATGTTTTATGTCAATTAAAGCAAATAAAATTTAATATACAGAGGCTTCAAAATTGGGAGTGCATGTTTCTTCTTTTTCTATGAAACACAAAAGAACTGGATGTATTTTTCCCAGAGAGAAATAATGTATTTTAACATAGGTTGTAATAAGAAGAATTATATATTCTATGGAGTCGTGTCTTGAATTGGGAATTTGCCAACAGTAAATAGCTTTTATTGGTAGATATTGGGGATATAATTCCTATGCTGCTGACTATTCTCGTTTAATAAATGTTCTCTCTCACTGTGTAAGAGAAACAGAGTGCAAAAAGAGCTATTATAATTTTTATGAATTTACACCAAGCTATTGTCATTTTTACTCTAATTTTAAGGAAGGGGATACAATAAAACCTTAATTTTGATTGTGTCTTTTTAATTTTTCAGATGTTTGATTAGGTTTGTTTTGTTCTTTACAGGGAAAAAAATGATATTATTAGTTTCAAAGGATGTCCTTTTAAAATTTATAAGGACTGGGCCAAATCTAGTTCTAAATTGATATGTAGAACAGATTTATAAAAGAATAAAGTGGTGCATTCAAATCAATTATTTTAAATCATGTTCTATAATTTGCCAATAAAATTTCTCAAACATTTCACTCCACATTACATATTAGTATTAGCTTTCTTTTTTTAAAACAAAGTGCTTTCAAGTCAGTGTCGACTCCTGGCAACTGCCAGAACAAGTCCTTGCAGTTTTCCTAGTAGCATTTTCAGAAGTAGTTAGCCACTCCTTCCTTCCAGGGCCTGAGAGAGAGTGACTGGCTTGAAGCCATCCAGCTGGCTTTGTGCCTATGGTGGAACTAGAACTCATGGCCTCCCAATTTCTAATCCGATATCTTAACCACTACTGTACACCAAACTGGGTCTCATTGTTAGCTTTATGCCATAATAAACATATGGGTTTTGCTTATCCATACCTGAAAATTACAGATATATTGTTTGGCATGTATTCAAAGTTCTTTGATAATGACTCCTATCCTTTCCCCCTAAGGACAAGTTTGAGAGCTCCTTAAGAAGTGAATATGCTCACAGACTTATTTCCTTTTGATGCTTATCAGTTCTTTTCCTGATATTTCTCATATATTATCCCTAGATCTGAGTGTCCAGCATCATTTCTGTGGCAGTCAATACATACTGTAGTAATGCATAACCTGAAATGATACTTGTATAATAAAAAGGATTTGCCTACTATGGAGACTTAATAGACCTGGAAGTTAGGGTATTAAGTCTTGAAGGCCTTATTTCACAGTGGCTCTCCTTCTTATTGACATCCAGTAGGTGGTGCTAGAGAACTGTTGATCAGGTCCTATGATTTTTGTGACAAAATGTAGCAGGTAAGCACTGCCTACCGTTCTATTGCACAATTACTCAACGTATATTCTAATATTCTGACATGTAAATTGGAAAATAAAGGTCTGAATCTTTTTTCGCCCAAACACCTAACTATAAGTGGGGAGAGCAAATGAACGGTATGCTGATATGCTGGCAGGAAGAGAGACAGGTTGAATTTGAGGAGATGGGGTTGGGTGGGGTGGGTGGGAGAGAAGAGGATAGGTGGCAAGCCATGGTGGAATGGGCCGCTTTGGTTTCTGATGGCTGCCTGTTCCACAGCAGGGCCGGGAGGTATCTGAAGGAAGACATGGATAATTGGAAAGGAAGACAAAACTGCTTAATTTTCTTCACATCTGTAAGAAGTTAAAACCCATCCCTCTCCTAGAAGAATGAAATATCCTAGGAAATATTGAAAAGGCAGAATATTATATTTCCCTGGATGTGAAAAGGGAGAAACATGTTTTAAAGACAANTATATATATATATATATATATATATATATATATATATAATGTAAAATTTTAAAATATATGTTTTGTATTTCATAGGCCAACCATTTTACCTCAAGATAACTTACATCCTGCCAGTACCCAAATGTTACTAATTGGAAGGGAGCATTAATCATTGCTTGATTCTGGAATCCAATTTAAAGC